GATTGCACACGAAGAGCTCAAAACAGGCAGAATCGGGTAGATTATTGGGGGGGATACCATATATATATATATATATCTTAGAAGGGCTTCAGAAGCGAGGCAAACATTGCAAACCCTAAATCCTACTTCCCCCACAAGACCCTCAACCCTAAACCTTCCGCCCTCAAAACCCTTCATATTTGGGGGGTAGGCTGCAGTATAGCATACACACAATCGGAATCGGACTATGAGGGGATACTGCTGAAAACTCCGAAATCCTTTTGAACCCTAGAGCCCGACACACCCTCATCAGGCAAGTGTAAAACCTTTAGAAAACCCTTAAGCCTTAAACACAATGCAGCTCCTGCAAGAATCCACACAAGAAGTACTACTGATTCAGAGGTCTAACAACCCGACATCCGAAACCCAAAGTCTAGACCCCAAAGTCCCAAACCCTTCGAGATCCTTCTTACTACCCTGTACGCAGCGAAAATTCGAGGCAGCGCACCGAAGAGCCAAAGGAAGAGCATCGAAAGGCTCAGTGGAAGCACCTCAGATGGAGCCCCGGGTCTTGGGTTCAGGGTTTGTTCGTCGTAGGCTCATAGGGCTTTGAGGCTTAGGCTCTTGGGGGTCTTAGGGTTTCGATCTCAGGAGTTTCTGTGGCTTAGGCTTACAATGCTTTAGGGGTGTGGGGGTTTGGGTTAGGGCGAGTTGCTTCTGAAAGACATTACGAAGGTGCTTCTTGGGGCCACAGTAGGTTTGTGTTTGGGGCTAAGATGGGGCTGTAATGTAGGGACCTAACTAATTACCAATACTATTTCGGGGGTTCCTTGCTACAAATGTAGCACTGGGCCCCAAAACCCTATTCTCATTATTACGCTCGTGCCAGTCCAGCGTCCAGACCCGCCGGGGAAGGGGGGAGGGGAGGCAGGGAGGGAGGGGGGGGCTGGTGACGGTCATTTCTTGTTGCATGTCCCTTCCGTAATGATTTCTTCTTGCATGTTTCCTTTTCCTCCCTTCCGTACTTGCCTTCGGCATTTCCTCCCTTCCGCACTTGCCTTCGGTGTGGGATTGGGGATGAGAGGGGGGAAGGGGGCAGGGGAGGTTCTTGTTGCATGTGTTCCTTTCCTCTCTTCCGCTGGTGTTGCTCAGTACAGACGTTGGGGTCGTAGCTGCGGAGTTGCCCCGGCACACTTCTTCCAAGACACTGCGCCGTTGTG